GCCTCCCCTCCCAGCCCGCCCCGCGCGCCACCCCCCCACCCCCCACCCCCCCCCCCCCCCCCCCCCCCCCCCCCCCCCCCCCCCCCCCCCCCCCCCCCCCCCCCCCCCCCCCCCCTTAAGCCGAGATTCTAATTACAAACTCTTTGTCGTTCTTAGTTTTTTCAAGAAATTCGTCGTTTTTGAGATAAACACATTATTATGGGAAAGATGGCATCGCTGTGAAATGGAAATTGTATTTATTTCAAAAACAACGGATTTCTTCAATAAACCGAGAACCTTCCTTCAGCCATTCTTTAGCAAAGTGTGCCTTTTCAAACTCAAACCCTGTCCACTGGCTATTCCATAACCCGAATACAAAATCATACAGAAGTTTGAAACGCTCCAACCTGAAGTTTTTGTAACCGAACGGTTACAACGATTCTATTTTTTACTGTGAGGTCATCATACCTAGATACACCATCTCTAAAAGTTTCATTAAGATCAGATGCTCGTAAGCAGAAATGGATTTTTGGGTGGGGGTGGGCCTTAATCTAAAATATTAAATACTTATCCAATTATTGATGTTTTTCCTGTAATATTTGTTTATTTTTTTCTTGTTCTATTATTTTCTTTATAAAAGTTACATTCACAATAGTAAGATTGTTGTAATAAAAATACAGAAGCTTTTTATACTCTGATTTTGTTTGTCAATCGGGCCTTCCAAAAATATCTGTGTACAAGCCTCTAAAATCGTGTCTAAACTCGTTATAAAAGAACGAGCGGTTTCCTCACATTTTACCTTGTGGCATTTCTCAGGTTCTTCTTTGACATGTGTACTCTAAGGATCGACAATTCGACAGGTCGCTATTCTTTCTAGGGTGTCGCGAACTAGTCCGAGGGTTACAAAAGGCGCAAAACGATCATCTCTACTTGACAATTAAGGTGATAGATTCGTCTGTTTTGCATCTGATTTCTTCGAACATTTCGAAAAAAGCTAATTTAATATTTAGTTTGTGATTAACAACCTTCCTTGGGGCAGTATGCAACACATTACTTCCACTGCTAAGTTTCTATGCATTTTAATTGAAAAATCAAATTTTAGTTCTAATCTTTGCTTCTGTGAAGCTAATGGTAAAACATTAAGCAAAAAAGAAAGAATAATTCATTTTTAAACATTCGATGATGAACTGTCGATTTTTTTTTTGTTTATTCAATCGTAGATGACTCACCCGACTTGACGGAAAACGCGTCAAAAATCGTCATTTTGGCGTCAGGTTGGAACGGATAAAACGTCAGGTTGGATTTGTATTTTAAAGGATAATTCATAACCTGACGTTTTAAGAGTCAGGTTATCTGACGGTTAAACCGTCAGGTTGGAATGGTTAAAGCGTGCGGCTTTTTTTAAGTGTTTTTACCTTTCTTTGCAAAGTTATAGAATTTACAAGAAAAGCCCTAAATGTTCATTGTCAGCTCAAAGCTACAGAAATAAGAAGAAATAAATAAATGAACATTTAGGGCTTTTCTTGTCAATTCTATAACTTTGCAAAGAAAGGTTGTGTAGAGCTGGAAGATGTCTCATTTTAATTAGAAATTTGGGGGTTACAATCATGCCTTATTAAAAAAGGCTTTGGTTATTTTTTAGAGTTTCTGAAAAACTGGTTTTCCACAAAAACAGTCTCTCGAAGCCTAGAGGTCCATCTCATGTTGATATTTAGCATGGAATCAGCATGGTCGACTGCTTATAGTCCACTAGGTTTCGGCTCGAAAGCGATTTGATAGTTGGGAACGTTTCCTCGTTAGCTTTGCAGAAACTGCAAAACTAAATCCACTGTTCTGTGTCTATATTCGCTACAACGATTGAAGTCGTGCAATCCACTCGATGTTATCAGTAGTACTACACTACTGATAACATAATGGAGTTTGAAAAATTTTGTAACAACAATGTATGATTTTCAATTTTAGAATTAAAAAGTTGTTGAAAAAATATTGTTAATAAAAAATTTTTGAAAACCTTACCCACGGCTGCACAATGAGAAAGAAGTTTGAACAAAACTTTTCACATTAGAGTTGTAGCCTATGTCATTTTGGATAGGATAAGTAGATAGATTATTAGCTCTTAATCATTGGAACGAGAAAATCGTCTCATCTGATTACCCCAATTTTAGTGAAAATTGATTTTTTGGGATTATTTTTGATGTTGATCACGAATCTGATATTCATCCTATAGAAATGGTATCTATATATACTTGTCGATGAAGAGATTCTAATTTGGCCAGTTGAAGTCAATTTTGCTTTACAGCCGCTTTTTCGTTACAGAAAAGCTCCAACCTTGAAAACTTGGTCCTTGATACGCGCGCAGTCCTCGAGACTGTCTTTCTATAATTTTTCTCTCAACACAGTTGAGAATATATATACGTCAGATGTCAACGAAATAATTTAGTGGCGATTACCCATCCACTTACTAATCGACGTCCTGACGCTTAACCAGAGAAAAGACAAATTCATTGTAACGATGTCTCTATGAGTTACGCGAGTTTAGTGCGGATAAAGAAAAAAAATGATTTTGATATTTAAAACTCGACTTATTTGAACTAAGTAAACTTTGTTTTACAACCACGAGTTTTACATTCGAGTTTTAAATATCAAAATCATTTTCTTTCTTTGTCAAGTTTGCAGAGGGGATCGAGTTCCCTATAGGAAAACGTTTTGTTGGATATATGAACAAATTTTCACCGAGCTATATATCTTTTCATTTTTTATACGAATGTCAAACCACTCTGTTTCTCTCTGTTGAAGTGTTTAGTAGTTACCAACTTGACCACCATGGTAGTACAACGACTATGTACATTAGTTCTTTGGCATTCATTTAATTCTTAGCATTATACATGTCACAATACAAATAAACACAATAGTAATTCCATTACACACATTGTCCGATAGTAATGTACATGTATTTTCTTCGCACATACAGTGTCGGTTGTCAGCAGCAACTTTATCCTGATATGCATTGTTATTGTTCATCAAATATTTTGATTATTATTTAAGATATTTAGTAATTGGGAAAATAATAAAAATTATATACTTTTGACTAATAATGTTCTTTTCTATTCTCTAACTAATTTGTATTCTTTGAAAAATTCGAATCAATCTTTTTTTCAATCTAATTGCATTATCTTCTAAATTCTTTGCTATGATAACTTTTTCTTAAGATCAAATCTAAAAATCCAACTTCAGAAGACCGAACATCTTTCTTATTTTATCGTCAACTTTTCAAAAATGTCAGCATGCACTGTTTGTCACCTTAGAATATTAAACGTTTCAGCTTTAATTAACGGGGAATGAATGGTGATATCACTAGAATAACTTCATCTAGTTCTATTATAAGAAGATTATAATTTTTAGCATTTTATTTTACTCACTGGCAGCCATCATAAAATCACTACAAATAGTTCATTTTGTTTAACGTTAATCCAATGGATAGTTGTTTTTAATTGTATCTTTTGCCGTATAATATTATCTAAATAATATGTCAAAAATATTTTTATGTATATAAAGAATAATACTGATAGTCATCCTAAAAAAAAATTCAAAAAGAAAAAAATTACAGATGACTTGAAATATATTCATTTGTTTTATTCTGTTCAATTTGTGCAAACTTTTCAATAGATTTATTTAGATTAAACTTTTGTTGATTCACTAATTGTTTTAAATCAATCGGAAATTCTGCAAAAACTTGAAATTCTGGTACACGTTGATAAATCATTGCTGCTAGGAGAATAAGTTGATATGCTGTAACACCCCAAATATGTTTTGTCTCGAAGTTAAAATGGTGTAGAATAAATGATCGTCGTTTATCTAATTCGACTACAGAAGATTGATGATTTTTTGATGATAAAAATTCACTTAAATTAATATAAAATGCATCGGTTGTTTCGTCTACTGATAATTGATAATTTTCGAATTTCGTAGATAAATAGGCAATAACAGGAGCAATGATGACCAAACGGGAATCAGTTAGTGGAATTAATTTTCCAAGGATTTCATATTGATCAGATTTAATACCGATTTCTTCTTCTGCTTCTCGTTCAGCTGTATGAATATCATCACGGTCAGTTGAGTCTCTCATCCCACCAGGAAATGCTAAAAAACAACAAAAGTAAAAAAATTAAAAGCGATCAGTAAATAAATAATCTTAAAACATATAAAAACTCGGTAAACTTAGACTGAATATTACGTAATTATTTTTTCAAAGTTTTCGAGATACGCTTTCCTTCCCAGATAGTAAAAGTAATCATTCTGATTTCATCTCTGTTCTTTCCTGCGTAATCATTTCAAATAACAGGTGTTTATTATGCACAGTTCAAACACTTTTTTGGTTCTTATTATTTCAAAGTTTTTGCATATTCAGACTTTTAATTTTTTTCCAGAACTCTCTAGTTTTTTGTCTAATTAAGCCCTCTCCTCTCCCATCAGAAATGCATTTCAGTAACCGTGAGTTAAATCTCAACCAAACTTTCAGGCAATGTTGACCTTATGGTTGAACTTTTTCCGTAGACTATTGGCAAAGTCATCTACCATCGTTTCAGAGATATAACTCAGTTAGAAGTCAAAATGAGGCTGTTCGTAGCTGCAAGATTTCTCGGTAACGTACGATCGTGGAGCGCCAGGGGGGGTCTTCAAATGACGAAAACACATGTAACTAGAGGCTAACAGAGTCAGATTTTTGATATTTAGTTTCACAAATAATGGTAAACGTCAAACGCCATAAATCCGAAAAAGTCTGATTAACTGTCATAAAGATATTTATACTAAATATCAAAAATTGAGCTCTATTAGCCTCTAATCAAATGCGTTTTCGTCATTTTAAGACCTTTCCGAGTTCTTTACGACGTTTCGTTATCGAAAAATCTTGCAGCTACGAAACACTGTCAAGGTGAACACCGCTTTCGAGATACGGTGGAGCTAGCGTGTGATGCCTATTTTAGGACTTCTAGCGAAACTCTCATAATTTTTGATTAAAACATCATCCGGAGCTGGGTGGTGTTTCATTTTGATCAGAAATGTTTGCTTTATATCTTAGTGTCATTGAAAGTATTTTTGGATTCGTGTTTTTATCAGAAGACATTTTTCAAAAAATCAATTTTTAATGCTTTCAGAAAACTTTTCTAAAAATCTTCGTATCCCTTTGATTTGATAGAGACTAAATGTATGGATCCTGCACAATAGTACATGAAGCTTACAGCGTTACAGTTATTCCTAAAATTATCCTACTTTTGTTTCAGAGACTACTACTATTTCACATTAACTGAATCTTAGATTTGACACCGTTTTCAAGGTAAAAACATGAAATGTTTTAAAAAACAATTCTTATTCAGTTAGAAGTTTAACAAAATAAATAAGGGGTTGTCGAAACAACAAAAAAGAATCTTTTACTGTTACTTTACTTTGTAAAGTAACGAATTTCCAGTACTGTTACTAGTAACCGGTAACGGATTTTACCTAGTAACGGAAAACCGTTACTTTTCAGAGTAAAGTAACGGGAACATACCATCGCTAGTGATGAATTGTTCGTGATCAATCTCCTATCCAATAAAACCATTACAACACATATGAACAAGTTTCATATGCAGCTAAATAATAGATGTTATAAACACATAAAAAATATTTAACTATATAAAAGAACGTAAATGATTTTGTAATCTTTGGGTTCCTCTTTCCTTTTCCCTGGTAAACAAAACTAATTATTTGCTAAGTCCTTCTACTTCTCTCTTTGATTTCATACTATTCGAACAACTTCTTGATTGTCAGAGGAAACATTGAAAAAAGTTAACATATGTTGCAGTCTTCGCTAATATGATGGATGAAACGTCCTTTCTTCATAAAGAAGATTTCTAATAAACCTACCAATCATTCCTGTATGCGATCTAACAGTTTCGGCACGTTTAGTCAATAATACTTGTATTTCATGTGTATTTTTATCATAGAAAAGTGGTATTAATACCGATGCACGACGTAGTCGATTTAATTTTGGATAACATTTTTGTAATTGTTGAAAATGTTCTTCTTTATCTAAATAGGGATTTAAACGTTCTTTTAAAATATCCAGTGTAAATGCAGTTGACATTGTTAAATCTCTAACAAATAAACGATTGTACAATAAAATCTTTGTTCGTCGACAGAGACATTTTATAAGCATAAGGAGAAGAAAACAAAGCTCTATCTAAAATATAAATTTAACTAATGGGAATAAAAAATTATTCAATTTTAAAATAAAAATTAGACAAGCGAGGCATGACCATCTCTCATTTATCATTCTGAACATATTAGAACTCACTATTTCCGTTCTGAATCAAATTAATGATTATATAGTTTAAATTTGTATCGCTTTGTAAAACATCACAATTTTTATAACAATCACAAAAATTTACAAGTAAAAAAAATGCCAACAATAAAAATAAATTATACAACAAAGAAAAAAAACACGATATGATAAATCTATCTCTTAGCCCCAAGCTTGTGTTAGTGCATAATGTAATACAAGTGTTCCTTCAGAACTAAAACAGTCACTTACAGCTCCAAGCGTTGTATCCAAAGCTGGAGAAAATGCTTGATTTACATAGAGAAATAATGTAGCCGCTGATTGATCTAATTTCATATATTTTTTTAAAAATTCCACAATATGTCCCATTGTTTTTGTTCTAGGTAATGCCCACTTTTTTTTCTTCAATATTGGTGCTCCACCGGCTGGTTTCAACAAAAATACAACTTTAGATGGATCATTTTTTACTGCTGACGTATCATCTTTTAAACTATCATCTTGTGTAGTATCACCACTTGCCATTGGAGCTGATATTGGATCAACGGTTAAAGAAGAAGAAGAATCAGCAACATAATCCGACGCTAAATCATTAATATTTTCAGACATTTTAAATCTAAAACAGATAAAGACAATATAAAACGGTTCATTTTTTTTTAATAGTGTTAAATGAATAGAATTAGTTAATATATGTTCCATCAGTATACGATCAGAAGGATAATTTTAGGACTCATTGATTAATTATTTTTAAATATTTCAATTTCATTTGTATGCAAGCTAAAAATCACAAAAAAACGAACGAAGTATTCTTTTTTTTAATGTTTCCATATTAATTATTGATAACAAAATACAAAATAGAAAAACAAGTAACAAATGTCTAGAGACAATATATAAAAACACATCTTTGATTCTAGATAAGAAAAAATGAAAACGGAAGACACTAAGTGTTTCAAGATTAATACATACGTAATAAACTAAAAAAAAGTAAATAATAAGAGAGTGTGTGAGTATCTCTCTTTTACTGCACAAGAAAACAAAAATATCTTCATTAATGATCGCTTCCTCGGACATAATTTGGATCATATTCAATTCCATTTCTTTCTAATAGTGCTTTGAATTCAGCTGGATTACGATATTGAAGATTTTGTTGATATTCTAATTCACCTTGAAGTAGAAAAAAAATAACGTAAATGGAAAATAATGATAGATTTTTTCAAGTTGTTTATCTCGCACAGTAAGCATTAATACAGACTTTTCGTATGAAAAAATGAACTTTTCAATTTCTGTGAGTGAACTATAAACATTCATTTCTCATCTATCTTTTCCTGTGAAAATAAATCATTTTGTCTCTCTCAGAACATTGGGACTACTCTACGACAAAAACATTTAGCTTAAAAATGTACATTGGTAATTTCTTAACAGATCAGAAGACTCTGTCTATTGAAAACAAGATCAATGATAAAAATATTAACTCATTCCATTGCTTATTAGTAAAAAAAATTTTGTTAATCGACATCGTTGAGTAAACAACTATTTTTCAAAGTTTTCGAAAATCAATTCTAAAGTATAGTAGATTTCTCACTTTTCTCGTCGTTAATCATATTCAAATCTTGCATAAATTGTCTTTAGTCCCTGAGATATCTACAGAATTAAGATAGTCGTCTCTTGACTCTAAAAACTTAAATTTTTTTACATAAAAACGTTTTTTCCCAGCTAAAGAAGCATGTTCTTTTAATTTTATTGAAACACATAACATAATCAATTTTTTTATCATTTTTCATTATGATAAATCATTTGAAACTAAAAATAACCGTTTTTAATAAGAAAAAAATCAAATGTCGATATGGCAATCGGTTATGTCTTAATGAGAAAATATGAAGATATTATCTACAGAAATGTTGAGTTTTATATCACTAATTCTTCAAAAATTTAGATAAATTCTAAAATGCGGTGAATACACGTTATAGAAATTCAAATAATACCTACCAGGCTCCCATAAACTTCCATTGTAACGTGCACCTATAATATAGAAATGAAAAGAATGTTGATCAATATAAAGCATGAATAAAATTGTACGTACGATGTTTTAAATCTCGTCCATCCTGTCCCATTTCTCTTGTTGCCCAATTCCACCATATTGAACATTTTGCACATTCGATAACATTACATAAACCTTTTTCTTTCATTGTCAAGTGTTTACACGATGGACATTCACGTAAAACACCTTTTTTAATCATATCTTGAAATTCTGAATCTAATTCCCCATCTTTGCCTAAATTAACGAAAAAAGATAAACTATGTCAAATATATCATCTTTTACTTACCTTTCTCAATTTTTTGTACTTGTTGACAAATTTGACATGTGACTTGTTCACTTCTGGGTTTACCAAATTGTAAAAATCCACCAAAACAATCATGTGTTTTACATTGTATAAAATTTTCATTTCTGTTCAATTTTTTATTCATATATATTTGACAAAATAATAGTAATTCTTCAATTTTTAAGCCACCATCTTCAAGAATATTTTTACAACTCAGTGGAATTGGACATATTTCAGCTGGACACGGTAACCATGGCATGACTTCTGAATCTCGAATACGAATGGATAAATATTGTTGAAAACAGTCACGACATATCATACGATGTTGACATGTGGACATTTCAAGAATAGGAGAATCGTGTGGAGAATCGAAACATATCTGACATGAATCAAATATTAGTTGACCTAACGGTTGACATAAATCGGGCTTGTACTCGTTTGAAGAATAGAGTTGTTCAATAAGATCATGAACATTTTTAATGTCGATAGAAGGAATAGGAGAATTTTTGATTTTTGACTAAAAATAATTTTAAAAGAAAACATTCGAGTTATGCTTCAGCTTATGTGTTAAAATCAAAATATCTCTCGATCTACTTACATTTTTAATTATTTGATATTGGTTCATAACCCACTGATGTTGTTCATAATATAATTTTATTTGGTGATCATCCATGGATTTTTCAATTAATGGCATTGGTGGTTTTGCCGTCACGGTTGGTTCTCGATCTATTTCATCTGATTTTTTGTCGTTATCATAATCATAATCATAACGTATTCGTTTGTTCCCTGATGTGCCACGATTTAACCGACTTTCACACATTTCACAATAGTCATCATCAACCAAGTTTATCGTCGTACATTGTGGACAAGCAATACAACCGGGTGGCAAGATATAATCTGAATTACTGGCTGTTGCCTGAGGTGTAAAATATTCATTTTCAAACTGGCAGATTTCACAATGTGGTACCAGTTTTGAATTGATAAATGTACATTGAACACAAGTATACTGATTGCTAGCCAGTTTATTATCGGACATACGAAAGTATTAGGAAAAGATATCACAGTAAGAATAGGAAAATGGAAATAAATATATGCTCTAAAACACAAGTAAACAAACTTCTTATCACACACTTATGTTGATGTAGAGATAGATGAGCAACAAAAATTTTTGACTACAATATTGAAGGAAAAAAACCCTCGGTAACAGCGATCTGAAGAACAAAGCGGTGTCATTTCTGTTTAAGACATTTTATTCATGAAAATTTCTTCGATTTTATTTTTTTGACGAAAGGAAAGGTACGGCTTTCCTTCGTCATTTTCAGTTCTTCGTTTCTCAACATAAGGAAAAACGTTCTCTTCTTTTGGTCTAAAATAAGGGTCCAGAGAATACATGTTTAATCTTGCTTTCCCATTGGTAAATGCCAAACAAAAGGGAAAATGTGAAAACGATGTCGCAGGAGTATGTTTCACATTCAGAGATCTAAGAAAAAGTGAGAGAAACTAATCGAGTTTTATATAATTACATTCAGATCTTCATCTAGATCATGAATTTAAACTTTATTTTGAATAAAAACAAGGCACTGGTAATAAAAAAACCAAGCTTTTTATTTTTTATCATTCTAAACTATATAATTCCCTTACTGGAATTCCCAAGACCAATTTCTTGATACGTACGTTGCCTGTACATGCACGGACACAGGCACGTCTCATACATTTTCAGACATGCAACTTGCAAGCCGAATGTATGTTCAGATGTATGTGAATCAAGAGACATGCATTAATCTTGCATGCCCGAGGTGGATACTGTGAATCACGCAGATTATTTGTTTTATCTAACAGCCATTGGCGAAAAAGTCTTCCGTTCGTGTATTCTTAGATGTAAACATTCAGCCTATAATAAGTGATACATATAGAATATGCTGTAGAGGTCGTTGTCATTTGATGATACACAGCCACAGAAAAAATAATGGGAGAGATATCTTTCCTTAATCATAACTAGATGTCTGTAGAATAAAAATTAGATCAACAGGGATATTCAGAAATGAAAAGCAGTTAATTAGTGAATTTTACTTTTATTTCTTCACAGTTTTCATTTTTTATTTAGTGTTAATTACTTCAGTACCACACTGACAAAGACATATATGGCTCTGTCTCGGCACTTCTCACACGAGAGGGAAAAGCATCAAGTCGAAAACTTTGAAAATATCTTAAGTAAACTATAATGTTTATATAACTACTACGCTGACAAAACAAAATGGTGAATAGAAAAATGAGAGAATAGAATGCATTCTGCCTGCTCAAACAATGCATGTGGCTTGAAGTACAGACAAAATTCATGTCTGCGGCTATCAAGCAGCATGCCTGGAACGTGCACGTATACATAGATGTCAATCACGTCTCTGACTCGATTCGTGCATGCCTGTATAATGCATGAGGTGGATACTGTGAATCAAACATGCCCGAATTGTAAAAATGGACTGGTCTTGAGTGGGAAGGAAGGGTTCTTAGAAAAAAATATAGTCTGATTGTACCGGCTGTTTCTCTTGGTCGTCAAATCGGCCAATAGAGAAATAGAAAAAGCGATGTCACAAATGAACGATAGATTTAGACATAAAAGAAGATAGACAAAGAAAAGAAAAAGAATATATTCTTTTTATTATATATATTATTTACTAACGAGTGAATGTTGTGTGAGGATTAATGTTATTCTCGATTGCAAATCGCAAATAAGATCCTATTTGAGTAGTCTATAATACTACCAGTTAGGATGTTTGTCTACTTTTCTTTAGACGCTGAAGTTATGTGTATTAAATAGTGGAGATTTATATGGGTATCATAAAAAAAAGACAATAAATATCTAGAAAAAATCCTTAGTGAAATGTCAAAATCATTAATTTTGAAATTAATTGCCGTAAAGGATTCAGTATTAATATACAGCTTAGATAAAATTAGAAAAAAATAGGCATATAACTTATACAGCTTTTAAAGTTCAAGGTATCCTGTCAATTTATTCGCTCTGTTTTTCCCGAAAACTTTCTTTCATCTAATGAATTGATTTGCCAAAAAGTTTGTACTCTTAAAAAAAATCTGTAAATGATTGCATCAGTAATCATACACGGGGATACAGACCATAATAGTTACCGAGCATTAAATTATGCACTGATATAGTTTGATCTGTTTACTGATAATTTGTATATAATACTGAGGAAATTATATTGAGCGTTTGCAAAAAAATACCTAGTATCTAATTTGTTCCCTAAGTAGATGATGTAGATGAATATCATGTAGTGTGGATACTTGTACGAAGAGTTGTGTAAGGTTTCTGAGTCGTACAAGTGCTCATTCAATACAAGTTTTCTATCCCGGGACAAACGAAAAATTCACCTTTTGTTGTTTAATCAGTTCTTCTCTGGAAACATCGAGAACTAACTGTTTTTAAGGCAACTATAGTTGTGGAGGTTCAATGCCAAATGAAGGACGAAGAAAATACAACAGAAATTTTTTTCTAAAATCTACTCCGTGAAGGTTTTATCTCAGGCACACGAGATTCCATGCTCATGAATTGTCTCCATGCAGATGAGTTTCTTATTCACCCAGTGTGCTTGATATGAGGTCTGTGCCTGACTTTCTTATCTCATATAATGGACTTGTGTTGGTTGAAGTATGTGTATGAGAGGAAAATATTTAAACGAATCTGAATACTTGAAGAGAGTCAAGCTTAAAGCCAATTATATGAAATTCTTAAGTGCTCTGAGATAAGATTTCATGCGCATGAGTTTCTTTGATATACGAAACTCAATTACTTGAGTCAAGAAAGTCAAGTGTATGACGTCCGAAAAAAATACTTTTTGCATGAAGAAAATGTCTCCGCGTTATGAGACTGTTACTCAAGAGATTCAGGAAGTCATGAGCTGGAGAAAAACAGCTTCAATAGGGCACTATTCATAACGTAGTAATTTTTTTATCGAAACTAAATGGGTTTTTTAGTAACAGAGTCACAAGGCTTTTATTACTTAGAAATGTAACAAAAATTGAACATCTGGCAACGGATCCAGCAGATATTTTTTCTGTTCGAATAACCTGCACATATACATGATTGGATTTGATCCAGTCCTTTGCCAAGTTCAACTGAAAATGTTCAATTTTTTATATTTTTGTGTAACAAAAGATCTTAAGATTCTGATACTAAACAAACTGTTCAGTTTCGTCGAAAAATGAGCAAGTTATGAGTGGTAGATCCTAGAATAAACGTCGTGTTGTATTTTCTTCGTCCACTATTCTATGTAAACGTCAGTAGTGGAGAGAAAATATTCTAACTTTTACATAAAGCCATATAATGCTTATATTTGAAAAGAAATGAAAAACCTGTGCCAAAAAAATTACAACATCGAGGGAAAACGACTCAGTAATATTTTAAAAACTTAACCGCACTTTGACGGTTTGTACCTCTTGATGTTATAAAGTGTTAATTTGATGTTTGCGCTCTTCCTTTCTCTAAAGAGCTAAGAAAATTCCAAAACAAAACATTGAAAAGACATATTTGAGAACACAAAAAACTTAGAAAACTTATAACTGTTGATAAAAAGACTTTTGAGAGTTGGGACGACTTCCATTTTATAAGACAGTGGCTTTATGTAAAACGATATTAAGCTATACTTTATGGTTTTTTATATATCCGAGCAACAAAAGAGTGCAAGGACCCTTTAAAGAAAAATTAAAAAATAGTCAGATGAATTATTTTCTGTTCCGAAACATCGATATAATACAGTTTAGTTTGAGTCTTACATCGAAATTATCGAAATTATAGTACACGCTTTTACTTCTGTCTGTAACTATTTGAATTATTTGGCATGTGTTGTATTTGTCGTGTCAATTCATCATCAGCATTTTCTTGTGATGACAGCCACAACTGTGTCATACACAATCGATCATTTCCAATGTCTTTCAGCCATTCAGTTACACATTGCAGACCTTCTTTTAATGCAGCCTCTGAGTTTGCTCGAAATTCAATATTACCGTTCATATTATCGTAAAGGATTGAACAATTTTTGTTTTGATATGTGCAATATATACCTATTTTAGTTAACAAAGCTCGCATGTCCTCGACAAAAACGTAGGGCAATTCATAGAAAAAGGGGAGAAGGCAATTACCCCCCAATTGCGGTTCGCCAGTGTAAGAGAGAAAAAGCAGAAAGTAACGTTCTTGCTTCTGAGAACAAGTTCTAAAACTTGTAAATGGCAAACAGAACAGTTTTATTAAAGTAAGAAATAGACTACATGAATAAATTTTGTCTGAAAAAAAATGAGTTGTCAAAAATGTCGGAATTATATTCGATAATGCTGTTCAAATTGTTTTTTGGTTTTCTCGTTTAGTGCATCTAATCTAGCCAGCTCTTGAAGTTGATATTTTGTGGGCTTCTCTTGTAATGCGGAAATGTGAAATGGTCTTCAAATAACCAGATCTTGTAGCCGTTTCACTCTGGATAAGGGTACATAAGCAGCTGCAACTTCGGATCTGTGACCTGGAAGAAAGACCAGATCAATAACAATTTTTGGTATTGTTGTCCTTGTGCCTTGTAGGTGGTAATGGAATACGTCGATACTAGCGGAAGCTGATTTCAGGTTACTCTCAATTTTGTTTTATTTCCTTTATATTTGATTCCACATTGTTCGAGAAACGGTTTGACATCAATTTCAAATACTTTTTGGATTAATGGAATAGGTATTATCTTCGATTCTAATGTATTTAGAGGAACAATGACTTTCGATTTCTCAATCTCCACCAATGCGTATAATGGTTTTTGAATATATAAAGTATGCGTTGGAAAATTTCATCCATTATATCAGGGTTCACTTCTGCCTCTCCATAGACTAGTTTACGAAAAATGCCTCTGGTTCCATTGGATAGAGCCAATTCTGTTTCTAAATTATCTGTTAATAGAACAGGCATACCAGCTAGAAGTGGTAAATAGCCAGGCAATAATTCTGTTCTACTGTCGGGTAACCTATCGGGGCTTTCGATCTTATCTAAGATCATCATCAGGTGAAAACATTGAAATATATGAGTACAAAAACAATATATAGTCGACTAGTTCTCATGTAGACAAGACAATGTCTAATGTTCTTAGTTTTCCTGCACAGTGGGCATTTTTTGCTAGAGCAGGCGGACTTTAGCTTTATGAGTGAACTAAAATTTCATGAACCATTTTTTTATAGGTTTTTCATGATCCTCTTTCTAATGACATGAGAGTTCGGTTTTACAAAAAGTTTTCTAAGGAGTTTTCCAGAAATCCGGTCTATGAAAAACCCTTCAGAAAACTTTCTCAATATTTAAAAACGATGTCACTGGAAAGAGCATTGTCGAAAACCTATAAGAAACATGTTTCGAGTCGTTCAGGTTACTTTATCTTGAAATTCAAATTTTCAACACGAAATTGCTTGTGTGAATCTCAAAAAATTGGAGAATTCAATAGAATTCAAAATCGAGTGACCGAAATTAGATGAGTTATACACCATTCGATGCAGTTTTTCACGCTGATTCCGAATATGGTATTATATTTGATGAAATGTGTGTTTATAAGCGAGAAAAATTCGAAATACCTCAAAACTCCTATGGGTTTTGGAAAATCCATAAAACGCTTTTGGAACATATGCGAGATTTTGCGATTTCACCATAAATAGACTAGTTATAGAGGAACATTTTGATGTATTTAGAAGGTCTATAGGGGTTTAGTGCTTAACTGTTACTTATTCCAATTACTTTCGAAGTATAAACATTTTGCTATCAGTAGATAGCTGAAGACATGCCGATTCTGAATATGTGCTTTGAAGTCGCGTAACAGCTGAGTGAATATAGAATCGTGATTTCGAGTATGGTAACGATATTCACTATGGGTTTTATGTACACTGCCTTCTGCTCGAAGGATCCATTTTCAAAATAGACATTTATACACCATTCGATAGAGAATTTGAACAGCTACATTTTACACTATTTATATTTGAGAAAAGAGTTACTTCGATTTTTTGCCTAATGTCCGCCTGGATGCCCACTGTGTCCTGTTTACTTTTTTTACTGACTAGAAAATATGCCTGGTAAAGATTAATACAAAATACCAAACAGCTACTATTCTGCAACTGTAAGAAATACTTCAGGAAAATATTTCAGGTTTTTAGAGTCTTAAACTTTTTCAGTCTCTGCGAAAACTTGTTTGTTGGTTCTCGAAATGTTTTCACATAGGTAACTCAACGTGCTCTACAATCTGACAGTATCAAAATATGTTCAGCTGAAAATTCAGCCGCCTATCAGTTATGTCAGCTGCGCTACTGAAGTTCTAGCATTTTCAGCTGTGAAAGGGCGAAAAAAATGAAAAAATTCAATTACTTTTGAAAGAAGCACCATGGGGAGAAATCCTTTTAGGATTTTTACCAGCTCTCTATGCTCTATCGATCGACATATAAATATAAGAATCCGAGTTGGGCATGTCCAAAGGTTCCCTCGTGAGCTGAAAATGTCCGATGAAACAAAATATTTTGACATTCTGAAGGAATTATTTTATAGGAAAAAGATGACAAAATCAGTCACTAAGTAAGTGTGGCTTAGGATTGTATCCAAGAACTGCTATTATACCCATTTATAGCTAACTAACTTCTGAATAAATAAGTTTCAGAACGTGTTATGAAGTGTTCCGTGTCTGAAAGTCAATTGATTTACGGCATAAATGCCGTTTCTCGAGTTCTCTAGAGAGTCGAGTTTTTTTTCAAATATGATTTTTGATAGAAAAACTATGAAAGGTTGCGATTTTGGCTATTTTAGCAAGATTTTGCTGTATATTATTTTTTGAAGAAGATCTGATCCAGTTTAACTCCTTAGATAGTCTTTAGATACATTGGATCCATGCATCATGTTTTACTCGGACTTTTCTTCGAGAACATGATGCATTTGTCGCAGTAGATCCCAATGTTCACGTGTGTAGTATGAAGGATAAAATTCTGTAAATGTGTTACCAACGCTGTGAAATACCCTAATAGCGATATTTGATATGAAAAACTTTTCAAAATGCAAAGAAACTGAAAAGCTCTCAGGGTCATAGAAACTCCCAGATATTGAATACAATACACCCCTATCACTTTAGGTCGAAATCAATTTACAAGTGCAGAGAAGTATAAAAGTTTTCCTCTTAAAAATTTAAACTAAATAAAACACTTATTGAAAAAAGGTTTATCGATCTCGAGTATTTTTAATGGATTAAGATGCGAGAAACACCTTTTTATCATTCAACTTCGTTCAGTTCTATTTGAAAACAAGTTCAACATCCTTAATTCGTTCATATTGTTCCGTTACACTTTTTTCTTATTTTCGGCAAATTTTTTATCAATCCTTCTTTTAACCATTATTATTGGCTGTTGTTATTTTCCACTATAGAAGACAACGGGAAAACGAAAATAGTGTATCGATTGCGTAATCCAGAAATGTGACTGGTTTTTTACAACCAATAATAATAGTTTATGAGAGCTGCTGTGCTTGTCACAAGCAATTAGCTGTCAAAAGTAGTGATCAGTGAGAATGATGGAAGAGCGAGTGAACGAAAATAATAAATTCAATGAGAGAAAATATTTTGGTTTCTTATTTCTTGTGAATTATTTTATAAAACTGTAAAATTAGTACAAAAATTTAGATAGCAACATCTAGAGAATTTCGATCGTTTAAAATTCTTTGATCAATGTTCTTAATGAAATAACAAACCAGAAGAGCATTTCATCAATGTTCTTAGCTTCATGAACGTGAGCACACATTTAATATCGTTTTTCAACCGTGATCTAAGACAATTCTACAGATGTCTCGAGTCAATGCATAACATAAGAACATGTTTCGTGAAGTTAACATAAACTGAAGTCGAAACAAAGATCTAAATCGACTCTTTAGACTTTTTTTATGAAATACAAGGAACTAAGTCAAGTTTTAAGCGCTCACAGAGCTCCTTAAGAGTATTGTCGGAATGAACTTGAGACTTTTTCTATATCTTGAGGAAAAACAGTTAGCATGATAAAATCGAACAGTCAATATAGAAGTTATTTCTTGATACAGAGCCGTGAGTAAACTCGTCAACTGATGGATGTCCTTATAAAGAAAGATTTTTATTCTCAAAAGCGTGAAAAAATCAAAAATTTACGACGATTCTTCGACCCAATCAATACGATGATGTTCGTTACTATGCATATGATCGAGTTTTGTGCCAAGTTAATTGACAGATCGGAGAGTGCAACTTTAATGGTTTCATCTATTAAAAAAATCTCACTTGATAACAGGCAAACTTCGTTCTAAAACAGCAAAACTGCAAAATATCACGTGCAACAATATGTTACTAAATTCTTCCAATAGATTTATTATTCTAGTGCTGACATGCAGCTTATAAAATCGTCCAAAAATCACAACATGCTGATTTTATTATCTAATTACTCTATTTTTATTATTTTTTAATTACATTACTATGCTAATTGTTACACAGAGAAAAAAACAGCAACAAAAAGAAAATGTTTGTACAAAAAAAATACATGCAAATACGCAGTACATACATAAATGACCGGAAATGTACAAAAAAAAAATGTCAATACCATCAAAAAAATTTCACATGCACATCACAGTGAATTAAAGAACAAAAAATATATGTATATAACATCGATTGATAATTATATATATTTTTCTAATAAATCGGCAGAACTTTGTTCTAATTCGATTGATTCTGATTGAGAAGATGATGTCCGTGGTTGGTCACTGCTACAATGAAGAAAAAATGTTGAAAAAAAATCAGACAATAGTTTTCTTCTCACTCAATGGCTCTAAAGTTCAACAAATAATATTTAATAGAACGAAAAACATTTAGAGGTTTTCTATTAAAAAATTGTCTTCTGTATGTATTTCTAGACTAATAATTTATTTAATTCTTTTGTTTGTCTGTCTTTTTTACCTTGCTAATGTGTTTGACGAAAATAGTCGTCCATTAAGTGTAGTCGTTTGTGATGTACCAAGACGACGTCTAAGAAAAAGAATAGATAAAAATTTTTGCTTTTTTTTTGAAATTATCTTGAACATACCCTCTTGTTATATGCTTTGTTTGCGTTGATTGTTGAATATCACTTCCATCTTTTGTGCCAAGATCCAATGCGTCTTCATCATCATCGTGACTGACTGGTTTTCGAATAATAACTGATTCATGAGTTATACGTTCAGGTGTCTAAAATCAATATAACACTATTGTTTAAATTCATCTGTTGACAAAAATGTCCATTTAATTTTATGAGAAACAACGTAGAATTTATATAAATTATTATTTATAATAGTTGTCACAATTACTTACGGGTGGTTGAACAATCATACCATCCTCATCTTCTTCATCGGTCTCCGGTTTAAGTTTATAATGATCTATTTTTGCATTTTTTAATAAATTTGATCCACCTCCATCATTTGATTGATCATCGTCCGCAAAACCAGAACCACGACTATTTTCATCTTCACCATCAGAATGAGCTAAATATATCAAATAAACATGATATAAAAAAACTTCACATTATTATCTCTCTTAATAATTACCAAAATTTCCATTATAGCCATTTGTTTGACAATCGGCTAGTTCTTGTTTTAATTGACGAAGTTGTTCTTTTTTTTGATCTAATACCAAAATAAACTAAAAAAAATGACAAAGGATATGAGAACTATACCAGTAGTGAGTAGGATATATTATGAACAATTGAACGAACAGCAATAGCACTCTATTATAGATTAGAAAAACAATTGTACTTTAGCAGTGTATTCATCTTGCTGAGTCTAAAATAAATTGATCAACATCAAACGGTAACAGTAAAGATTTTTTTTTGTTTTACGAAAATTCCATTTTGAATATTTGATATGGTCTACTCATTAGGAAAGAATTGTAAAAATACAATTAGCTATTATTGACAAGAATCTTCTATCAGAAAATTGTTTTCACGTTTCTGGTAAACTATAGCATAATCGTCAACGGATGACATTCGATGCAGTAAAATATTCAATATTTCTCAAAAACAAATCGTAAAAGGAAGCAGTTGTGAACAAACTTTATTTCATGTTTTGGTCAATATTAACTTGAATAAAAACATTAACCACTATTTAACAACTAATATCGACATATATTATTGAAAATTTGAATCCATCAGTGAAATGATAAAAAATTTTGATCGCGGTAAAAATCTGAGAATGTTATCGAAGCGTCGGGGAACGATTTCACGTTTTTATTCTTACCACTCATCTCTACTCCTTTTTGGTGTTATCCTTTGATGTTATTGTTGGAGGTCGATCAGAGAGAAATTAACAGTACATCATCGCAAGGATTTCTGTTGTGTACCGATTCTGTTTTGATGTTATAAAAAAAAAATTATCTAATTCAATGTCACTCTGTATTTCTGGCAGTTGCAGAATAGTAGCTATTTGATTTTTTTTTATCAATCTTTACCAGGCATATTTTCTAGTCAGTAAAAAAAGTAAACAGGAAAACTAAGAACATTAGACATTGTCTTATCTACATGAGAACTAGTCGACTATATATTGTTTTTGTACTCATATATTTCAATCTTTTCACCTGATGATGATCTTAGACAAGATCGAAAGCTCATAATAATTAATTTATTTGATTTTAAAAATTTATTATGTTTTCAGCAATCATTCACTTCATTCTAGTCTTAGTAGCGGAATAAAAATGTGTTGAAAAAAAAGATGATATAAACAGTAAGAATATGTAGGGGTGAAATTTCATCTGAAATGTTTGGAAAAAGCCTGGCAGGTATTTTGACTTTTAGACTTTCACTCCTAAAATATAAAAATTACGAATAAACACACCATGTGAAAGAGCGTGAAAAACTAAGATGATTATTTAGGATAAAATCACAAACTTTTACCGATTTTTAAGAAAATTTTTTAAAAAGTTGCATCTGTAAATAATCGCATTAGAATAATCCATTATTTGTTTCAAAAAAGTGTTTTATTGTACAAAATTGTAAAGCAACATTTGCTCTTTAAAATGGAATATCCATCCTCCGAGTCTCAACATATTTTACTTAATACAGTTCATTAAAACTTTATTTCAAAAATAATTAATGAAATTATTATCGAGTGGGAGATCCTTTTTATTTGTCGAAGTGGATCCACCAAATATCTCCTGCTCGTCTTGTCTAGTTTGATAATTTTTTTCAACATTTCCATCCGTCTTAAGGAGAAAACACGAAAGATATGCCCTTAGGGCCTTTCGTAAATTAAATGCTGTTTCATGAAAAAATGTCATAGAGATCTCGGGAATGTCTCATTTTGTTCTATATAACAGAGTTATTTGCAAACAGTTTCTTGGTCAAATTCGGGGATGTGTTTTTGAGATTCTGATTTTCGATGGACTCTAGTTTCAGAAATTTCGATAAAAACTTTATATACATCACACAAGCTTGAAAATTCTTCTTCTTGTTAAAATCTTTTTTTCAACTTTGTTTTAGGTATTATGGTTGAAGAGAAGAACTAAAAGTAAAGATGGATGAATAATTTTTCGAGCCACTGTATATCGTCATATGAACACGTCATTACGCTATTAAACGACGCTATTAAACTTTTTTTCAAATGTCTGTATACCATATTTTAGCTCGTGACATGCTCTATCAGATGGTATATTTAGTGGAATAGTGTCAAGAAAAGAAATCATCATAAGACTGCAGTTATGGGGAATAGATCTCGTAGCCAGTGTTATTTCGGTCTTTTCTCTGCTAAAATGCATTTCGTTTTCAATGTATTATAAATAGAAATGTTGCTGACGAAAAGAGCTTTCGAACGGTATATTACAGGTGTAGTTAACTGTGAAATGAAACGACAATACGTAGTAAATGCGGCTTCCACTAGGCTTGGAGCCAAGAAAATATTCAAGTGATAAAATTACTCTTGAGAAGTAAGTAGTTCTAAGATTTCAAAGATTCTCAGTTCGATTCCTTTACTGACATTGTACCTACTCTATGAATAAAACTAAATTCGGTTAACAGGTCAATTTCATCACCTCCTTTATATATTTCTGCAAAAAGTTGTTTGTTGGTTGTGAAGATATTTCCATATAGATAACTCGACGTGCTCTACAATCTGGTAGTGTTAAAATATGTTCAGCTGAAAGTTCATAGTGGGATTTTGAATACTCGACTTTTGCAAACCTATTCTAGAAAGGTCTAGCAACTGAAACAGATATTAGATTCCTGATCAACATTAAAAATTATCTATGATCAAGTATGTTTCCAGAAAAAAGTGACTGAGCAGTTGGAAATCTTTCCTCGTCAACTTCTCTTTCGAATCATACCTGCTGAATGCTCAATTTTTGTCACAACTGTAACTACTTCATAATTGAACATCGTATTAAATTAGCGTAGCGCAAATGTGATAATGATTCTATTTCGTGAAAATAATCACAAGCATAGATGATTTGCATTCGTGTTTAACAATTTCTACTAAGAAACTCAGTAGTACCGCCATAAACAATGTTATCTTACCTTGAGAATTCCCTTTTTTTGCTCATAGTTAAGAACAAATATGTCTATACGCTATTTTTGTCTGCTATATTTACAGTATAAATTAATTTAATGCTTGACAGATACTATCTCTCAGTGTCATAGTTTCTTTTGAAAAAATTCTTTTCGAATGTCAATTTTTTTTGTCTATGATAAAATAAATTTTATTTTAAATATGTGAAAAATATTCTTGAGAATGGAATTTCAACATATCGACTCATAAAAATTACAAATATATGAAGAATCTCAACCACGTATAAGTAAGAAGAAATAACAATAAATTTCGATAATGCATACATATACAAAATATTTCAAATAACTTTCGATGATATCAAGGCAAATATCACCGATATATTGAAGGATAAGGCATAAATATACAATCTTATGTTCGAATTCATTATTGATGCTAAATAGACGGACACAGCACACAGACTATGTTTAAGGGTATCCTCCCCACCCCCACCCCCCTGCTCTTTTTGAGCTTCCTGTAGATATGCTATGAAATAAAAATCAAAAGTCACTAAAGGCTTCATATTTTTAGCACTGATTGGAAACTCAGTCGAGCATTTTTTCGTTTTTGTTTGAAGTTTTTAATTATTTCCGTTCACGAGTTTTCCAGAAACCTCGAGTTTTCATTACGTCACATTGAAAAACTCGATTTTTGAATGATGGCAGGACTTTATTAATTAATGAAACACGTATGATTGCAGCGGAACTACTCATCATTTATAAACTTATTTAAGCTTTCGAATAAAGATCATCAGAAAATATAACAAGTTATAAAATGTACGTATAAAATGAACTGTCTAACACATTTATATATAGCAGTCACCGGAGAAACAGAAAGAAAAATAAAACTGTTCGTGAACGTTACTGTTTTT